GGTGCAGGCATCCTATGGAGTAGGAGGAGGGAAGTCCTGCCTGATGCACTTGTCAGGAGCCCCCCTGCAATTTCTGCTCCCTCACCTTGCTCAAGGGTTTTGGCAGAGAGATGTAACCTATCTCCAAGTGGAAATTCCAGGATTCAGCTCTGCGTCTAGCTCGGGGTCAACCCTGCTGTCCATCACACGGGAATGGCGTCTCAGCCCTCAGCCATGCAGGTGGCTTAGAGTTTGGTTCCATATCTTGATCTGTGTATGACATGAGGTGTCACTCTGTGGTGACAAGAAGCATGATGTGGACTTCAGGTCCCAGTCCTACAAAGCTTGTACAAGGGCTCAACTTTGCATTTGACTCCAGTTTTGTCTACACTGCCCATGACAGCCTGATATATATCAGAGAAGCTGGATTTCTTTGATCTAGCTACCATGGGAACCAGTGCAGCAGCAATGCTGTAGTACAGACCACATCACAAGCCCAATAGGGCCACGGGCTACACGCTTGGGGCTGATAAAGTACTCCGAACATTGGGCTGCATGTTTTCAGGGCTAATGCTATCTGTAATAGCTAGACTAATGTTAGCAAGGGTACTCATACCTTCCTTTGTCCTGCAGCCATGTCCTTTCAGCAGTGCCTGATTGGAAACTTAAGCTGCAGCTTTTACGTGCCTCATTCTCATGCACCTTTCAACCAAAATGACTAATTCAAACAGAGGCTTAAAGGTCAAACCCTCCAGACCTGGTTTTGCAAACCCTTTTGTACATGGCTTTTCCCCTTGTCTAAAAAAAGCTAGTTCTCATCAGGAAATGTTGGTAAAAAGGGTTTAATTACAGAAATCATTTTGCTCCCTATGGAGAAAGCATGAAGAATGGCATATTTCCACATTTGAATTGCACTTTCATCAAGAAAAGAGTGATTTCCCCTTAAGAATGTTCTGGAGGAGTAGAAAAGAGCATTGAACCCTGGGGTGTGTATTATTTTATAGTCTCTGAAAGGCAAATGGTTTCACTTCCATTGATTAAAATATATGAGTTTTTCCTTCTGCATTACTCTCTTGGAAGTAAAAAAAAAAAAAAAAAAAAAATCTTTAGCAGAGGTTGTCACTGGTGCAGCACCTATTGGCAAAGGGCTGACCTAACCAACCAAAGACACTTCTGCTGCTGAACGTCTTCAGCAAGAGGCCTGTGACCACAGCAGATGTTGCTACTTTTTGCTTGATGAATGGGGACTTCATAACAGGTGTTTTCATAGGTTTGTGGGAGCAAATGTCAGCAGGGAAACATAACCCAACATAGAACTATTAAGTGCTTAACTGAAGCACAGCTCCTGGACTTGCTCTCCTGTCTCCTAAAGCACGAAGTTTAATAGGCTTTATTTTTTTCAGTTGCCTTCTCATTCCACAGATGTAGCTCCTTTACAAACTTTGCATACACATTATCTGGAAGAGAATTTGACTAAATAGTTTCTGTTCACAAGGAACATTTGACTATGCGAATCTACCCGTTGTACAGGACATAGGCACAATATGGCAGGCTGGTGAACACTGACATTTTGAAATGAACATCTTCATAAAATATGCTCCAAATTGGTATGCGGCACACTTCTGCAACCACAGTAATTTGCTGTGAACTGAAGCAGGGGGATTTTCCTAAGCAAAGTCGTTTTGTCCCATTAAATTACTATCGTTCTCTCTCTTTTTTTTTTTTTCTTTATTCCAAGAGCATCATTGTCTAGTTCAGTTAACAGGGAAAGGCCAATTACACAAACAGTGCTGATCTGTTAAACTTGGATTTACCACCCAGCATACAAACAAACAGTATGCTACTGCACACTTGGGTTTACTAGGTTCTATTAATAACACTGTTGGACTTAAAATAAATAAATAAATAGATAGATAAACAAATAAATAAATAGCTGGAGAGAATAGGCAGATCTAATGGAAGAATTTCAAAACTGCAGAAAAGTACTGCAAACAAGTGAGAGCACTAAGAACAAGAAAAAGCAAAAGTTATATGCAATTGGAAATGAAGATGTTCCATTTCCTTTCTAAAATCAAATGCAAACTGCTCATGTGACTGATTTAGTATTGAACAAGAGAGGGAAAATTGCCTCTTGGCATTTAAATGGAAATGTTTCTTGTTCAGAAATTTTGGAAGCTTGCATACTGTATGATTTTTGAAAGGCTTATACAATTACCATTGAATTTGGATACGGTCTATTCCTAACAATATATATATTTCTCAATTAAACTTTGCCCTTCCAGAGACCTAAATTACCTTTGTCTAGAATCTAGATTCCTGATGTGGAATATATTCCACAGGACAGCAAGACCGATGCAAATGTATTTCTTTTTTAATATGTATGACTGGAAAAACAGTGAACAGTAGCAGCTATTTCGCAAAGCAGACCGTTACATCGAGAACTGCACTGTTTTAGGTAATGTTCTGATTTGCTGTGTGCCTTTTTACCCTGATTTCTGGGTTTGGAATAAAATACAGTCTCACCTTCTTACCTTCCTCAAAGGCTGGAAATTTTAGGACAAGAAGAAAAAACAGAACATAGCTGACTTGCACCTGGCTGATTTAAAGGTGTACCATAAAGAGGACTGTCCCCATGTACCTCAAAGCACTGCATGAAGTACTGCAATCTATTATGTCCAACACTCTTCTTCTCTTCTTACAATGCAGTTTTAGGGCCTAATCCAGTATCACTCCAAGATTTGTGTTGCCAGCTTAAGCCATGCAGAGTCTGTTGCTAAAAAGTTTTGCAGGAGTAAATTTTGAGGACAGACTTGAAACAGAAAAGTGTGATTATTAGGTGCATGAGAAAATGATAGACTGAGTGTAAAAAGCAACAGATTATGAATCCGGGCAAGAATAGAATCATAGAATCATAGAATATCCTGAGTTGGAAGGGACCCTTAAGGATCATCAAGTCCAACTCTTGACACCGCACAGGTCTACCCAAAAGTTCAGACCATGTGACTAAGTGCACAGTCCAATCTCTTCTTAAATTCAGTCAGGCTCGGTGCAGTGACCACTTCCCTGGGGAGCCTGTTCCAGTGTGCAACCACCCTCTCTGTGAAGAACCCCCTCCTGATGTCAAGCCTAAATAATAAGAATAAGTTATCAGGGACCTGCCTGAGGTCAGGCAATGAAGCAGTAGCAGGGCTGGACACGTAGACATACCACCCACCTTTCTCCCCTTCAGACTATGTTAAATAAAAACAGTAAATGAATGTAATTTCTTCTTATTACAGTTTAAATTAAAAAAAAAAAAAAAAAAACAAAAACAAAAAAACCTACAACAACAACAAAAAAAAACAACCACAACAACAACAAAAATCATACAAATATTTAAAAGGCAGAAACTGGCAGCATTGGTCTTCCTCTCAATGAAGACATAATCTTAAATTATGCAACTGAAATCTTGCAGTCCTTCTTCCTGAGAACTTGGTTTAAATTATTAAACAACATAATTATGCATTATTATTAATAATAATAACAATAATCTCCTGGCATCACTGTGGATGATGCTTCCTGACCCTAAAAGCCAGGCATGCAAGTTGTCTAACTTGGGATAGGAAAGAACAGAGGTTTTCTCCTCCTTGTTACATGTGCTGATGCTGGAACCCAGCTGACCCTGGTAAGACAGAGGGACACACACCAGAGACAGGGTACAGAGGCACCACCTGAGGCAGCTCTCATCCCTATCCCCGTTTCATCCCATTCCCATGCCAAGGCCAATGCTCAAACCATGACTAAGTTCATTCTCATTCTCTGCCCTCCCTATTACCTTCAGATGCCCATGTCCACACTCATGTCCATACACATTTCATCTCACTACCATTTCCATGCCTATGTCCATGCCCAAACCCAGACCCACGCCCATTCCATACCCATGCTGTGTCCATTCCCATGCCCACTCCATGTCCAGCTATGGTCTATGCCCACGTCCCTGTCCATCTTCTCCCCATGCCCATGACATGCCAATCCCTTTGCTACTCCCATGTTATGCCAATGCCATGTCCATGTCACATGCATCACTTTTCTGTGCCTATGCTGTGCACGTGCTACCTCCATGCCCATTTCTATGCCTGTTCCCATCCAATGCCCATGCCCATGCCATGTCTATTGTATGTCCACACACAGATCTATGCATCCTTTCCACATGCTATGCCCACATCCATCCCTTCCTTACGCTCACATTATGCCTTCCCTATGGTCATGTCTATCTCCTCCCTATGGTCATACCTATGGCCGTGCCCATGCCTGTGCCCATATCCATCTCTTCCCCATGCCTATGCCCACATCCATCTCTTTATGCCCATGCCCATCTCATCCTCATGCTCGTGTCCATCTCCTCCCTATGTCCATGCCCATGTCTACACCCGTGTTCATCTCTTCCCCATGCCTATGTCTACACCAATATCTTCCTCATGACCATGCCCATGACCATCTCTTCCCCATGCCCACATACATCTCCTCTACATGCCCAAACCTATGCCCATGTCCATCTCTTCCCCATGCCCATGCCCACATCCATCTCCTCCTCACGTCCATGCACATCTCCTCCCCATGCCCACATCCATTTCCTCCCTATGGCTGTGTCTGTGCCCATGTCCATTTTCCTTTCATGCCCATTCCCATGCCCATCTCCTGCCCATGCCCATTTCCATTCCATGTTCATGCCCATTCCCATGCCCATCTCCTGCCCATGCCCATTTCCATTCCATGTTCATGCCCATTCCCATGCCCATCTCCTCCCCATGCCCATCTCCTCCCCATGCCCACCTCCACCCCCTTCACACCTTATGCCCACCCCATACCCCTCCTCATGCCACCCCATGCCCGTGCCCAAGCCATTCCCACGCCGCCCCCATGCCCACGCCGCCCTGAGCCGCCCGCGGTGCGCAGCAGCGGGCCGCATGTGTGCCTGTCATTCCCAGCCCGGGAGCGCCGGCTCCTGCCTCCCATTCATGTAACCTGTGTGTGTCTCTCTTTCTCTCTGTGTGTAACAGAGAGAGGGAGAGAGAGAGCGAGGAAAGGAGAGGAGGAGGAGGAGGGGGGGAAGCTTTAAATAAAGCCTTTGGATTGCAGCTGCTTATTTTGGGCAGTCCTACCAGGGACGATTCCTGCCAGGAAAGAAGCTGGACCGGTCTTTTTTATTTTGATTTTGATTTTTGGGGGTGGCGGTGGTGTATTGCCGAGCCGCCTGCTGAGATGAGCTCCGGTGCCTGGCCGTAGTTGCCCACTTTGGGATCGCTGGACACATAAGTGGCATTTCGGTGGGGAAGCCTGCAGACATGGTAAGCTTGCGTTTTGCTCCGAAAAGTGCATTTGTGTGATCGCCTCCCTCCAGTTTTCCCTTCCCCCCTTCCTCTTCCCTCCGAGCAGACGGGCACACGGCTCGGGGCTGGGGAGAAGCTCCCTGAATCCTTCCCTTTTCCTCCCCACCATCCCTCCCTCTGCCCAGCCTGCTTTTCTCCCCTTGCATCCCAGCCCTTGCTGCTCCCTCCGCACAGTTTGCAGCAATCCAGCAGGAGCCCAGGGATGCTGCCGTAGGCTCCAGGCTGGGGCGCTGGGGACCAGCCACCCTCAGCCCAGCCAGACCTTGCTTGAGGGTACGTTTGGGGTGGCTTCTCCCGCCCGACCCCCCAAGCCCTTCCCCTCTGCACCCCGAGCAGTGCGGCTGTGCTGGGGGAGGCAGCAGTGCAGATTTAGAGGCATTGGAGCAAGGATGCAGCTTTAAAATCAATCGGTGTTATTTATGTAATAGTAAAAGTACCGTGGAGGGGGGAAGGGGGGGGGGGGGGGGGGGGGGGAGAGAGAGAGAGAGAGAGAGAGAGAGAGAGAGAGAGAGGAAAAAAAAAAAAAAAGAAAGGAAAAAAGAAAGGAAAAAATAAAATAAGGAAGTGCCTCGGTATTTCTTAGCTGCACAAAGCTCCTTTTGCTCTGTCTGAACCCTCCGCCCCGTCCCCATGTCCTGCTGCAGGGTGGTGTGTTATGGGAGTGTGTATGTGTGTGTGTTTACATTTGGATCTGTGCTAGAGTCGTGGATGGGGAAGGGGTCTCTCATTTTCCACGGGGGTGGCTTTGCCTCCAACCGAAATTATGAAAAAAAATGTGCTCGGCTGCAACTTGGGTGACAATTCTGTTTCTTAGGCATTAAATGTTAAAGCCCTGCTTCTAGCCATGCCCTGCCACTATTGAGATCCCCCAAACAGTGTGGTGCTTGAAAAAAAAAAAAAAAAAAAAAAGATGCTAGAGTGCCTAGGAGAAATGCAGTGGTTCAGACTCATGCTGATATTCTCAGCAATTTGCATTTTGAAATACAAATTTGGGTAGCAGAACATAAAAACAAGATGCTACCAAAGGGCATTTATTTCCTGATATTTAGTTTTATTAATACATATATATCTATATTGGTCTAAAATATCTGGGATATTTCACTTTGAAATAAGTAGTAGTTAAGGTATGCTTGAAGTAAGTAGTAGTTAAGGTATGCTAAATCTTAAAATAAAGCAGTGTAAGTAGTACATGAGGCAGTGTGTATTTACTCTTTCTTACCAAGACCATGCTTAGAAATTTGCAGCATTTACAACCATGTAAGCACACCATTTGAAAAACAAAATACATATTTATGCCACAGCCTTCCTGTCTTATGGGATCCCCAGTCTTTGAAACACAATTTTCATACAGCCAAAACAGAGCTTGCTAAATACTTATTGACCAGATAGACAAGACCTTTCTGCATCTTGAATGCATTTACTCATGGTTCTTCCAGGAAAGTTCAATTCTTTCTGATTAAAAGGGGGAAAAAAAAAAAAAAGCACTAAACTATAAAATAATGTCACATCCCCACCCCACACACATCTCCATTCTTAACTTTGTGTAGTGAAGTCTCATCCTGAATTTATAGCTGCATTTTTATTTTTTTTTTTCTGACAAATGTCCCATGTGAGGGGAGGGACAGAAAATGCAAAAATGAGTGCAAAGCTTTGAAGTTGGAAGTTGACTGTGTGTTCTGCTAGGTAAACTTCTGCTGTGGTGTGGAAAGTTGGTGGGGGTTGCAAGTTGGGGGGGGGGGGGGGGGGGGATGCTCCAGGCTCGGGGGCACAGGATTTGGGCAGAGGAACTTGGCAGACCCCAACCTATCCCAACTCCCTTTCTTTCTGTCTCGCTGACCCTAAGGAAATTGTTTGCATGTAGGGTGGCCCCTCCCCTCCTACAGAAAGTGCTCCGCTCCCAACGTGTGTGCCATATGTGCCTGCAAAACCTGAGATTTGCCCTTTGCACATGTGCCAGCAGCACGCTGGGTCCGGCAAGGAGAAGCCCAGGGCAGGGCATCGGCCATGGGAGAGCCGCACATCTCCCCGCCTGGCTGGGGGAGGCTGGGGCTCAGCCAGTGATTTGTATTTAATTTATTTCATTGGCCTCTTCCGAGCCAGGCACCTCCCACTTGGCGTCTCAGCCTGTAGCACTTTTATGGGCTTAGGTGGAAAAAACAGTGAGTATAGCCGTATATTTTTTAGTGTGTGTGGCAGGGTTCCTACCCGTAAAGGTAGGAGGACGCATCTCTTGCTGTTGCACTGTTTTGCAGTGAGACAAGCCTTCAAAGCAGGCTCTGCCTGCGTTACAAGGCTGGAGGAATTTGCTGGTTTGTGGCCATTGCGAGCTGCCCTTCTCTCTTTGGTTCCCAGCTCCCAGCCTGTGCCACGCTGCTGGATCAGTCCTTGCTGCTGCGGGCTGCTTTGGGGCTGGGAGGGTTCCCTCCTGCTACGTTCCCCTGTAAACGTGACCCCCAGGGTAGCACATGACCAGGGAAATTATGGTCTGTGCTGGTTGCCAGCAGATTTAGGGACGAGGAGAGCAGAGTTATGTCCACGTGAAGGTGTTACCTGGGTTGTGCTCCCCGCAGAGATCAGCACAAGACCTCCCTGTGTGGGCTCTGCACCCACAGCTGGGGCAGAGAAAGGAGAGGAGGTACCTTTGCACACAACCTGGTTCAGTTTCCCTTTCCTCCCCCAAAAAACAACTCGCCAGGATTGGGAGTTACTGCCTCTGCACTAAGCTGTATTCTGTTTCTGCAGGGAGTCCTGCCTTCGTGCCTCACCCTCCCTTCCCCTACATACGTTCATGCATGTGTTCATCTCCATGCAAGGGGAGATTTGCAATATATCTGTCATATATTGGTGGGACCTGGAGGGAAGATTTTATGTTTGGGTGGAGAAAGAGTTGCTGTGTGCGTATGAAAAGAGGTTCTCAGGCTGGATTTTGGCAGGGGAAAGGGGAAAAGGAGGTGCACAAGTGAACTTCACAATTTCCTTTTTTATTAGCAAGGGGACCTGGATTAGAAAACCTTTTCTGGGGAGAATTTGCTTTCTCTGATTTTAAAGGATAGGGAGGCAGGGAAAAAAAATCATTGGGAGAAAAGAGTAAAATTTCTCGTCTGGTTTTGATTGGCGAGGGAGGGGAGATTCCCCCCTCAGATGATTTATTTTACTACATGGATGGAAAAGGGAGTTGTCACTGGTTTCAGTGGATCTGGAGAAGGAGGGAGATTTGCACAGAAAAAAATGGGGTTTTGAACTCCTTGTATCTTAATTATTTTACTTCACTCATTTAAATTAGATACTTTCCTTTTGTTTTGGTGAGCAGATAGCACACTGGCAAGGGAAAATGTTGTTCTCTTGTTTTATAAAGTGAGAGATTTTTTTTGTGCTTTTATTTGATTTGATTGGCTTCCTGGGGTGCATAATAACTAAAATGTTATTTCATTCTCTCTACAACATGTACAATATTCCAATTAAGATTCCACTTTGATTATTTTTCATGTGGTAGTTTACCATTTCTCTGAAAATGGTAAAAAATAAAAAAGAAAGACAAAAAAACATTGAGCTCTTGCACTTTAAAATAGCTGAGATGCTTAAGCAAAACTACCCTTTCCCTGGGAAAGTCATTTCCAGTTCTGTTCAAGTTAACGCTTCACTGCTTCATTTTCTGACAGAATCACCTCCTTGCAAGAAGGAGAACTATGATCTTACGTAACTTGATGTTTCCAGATCAAAAGTTACAAATATTGCAGTAATAGCATGATGAGGGAGATTTGGCAGGATGAATGTTGCATGACATATGTGATTTCGTATTGGGATTTGGAATCAAGTCTAGTTTAAAAATTTACTGGGGAGAAAGATTAAAAAAAAAAAAGAAAGAAAAGAAAAATAAACAAAATCTTACTTGTTTGATATCTTATTTAATGCTGCTTTAGCTTTTTATCTTACTTCCATAGGCACTTGAGACTGATTTTTTTTTTTTTCTTTTAGAGCAAACTCTTCAGTATTTAAAAAAGATGTGTAATTGTCATATCAAAAAGTGAAGTGGCTTGAAACTCTCTTTCAGATTTGATTCAAAGAGATGAAACTCTGTAAATCAATGTCATTTCAGATTTAAAGACTGGCTGTTACCTGCTCTCTTACAAGGTCTATCCACATAGCTTATTGTAACTAAAAGCTGAAATATTTTGCTTCTGCTTTGAACTGACAGATTAGCACCGCTGGGCTCTTTGAGACAGTAAGAAGCACCACTTGCCAGTGAATTGGGTATTCATGGAGCCCTGACCACTATCTCTGAGAGAAAAAGTCTTGTAATTAAATTACAAGTAAATTAATTTTTTAAAATATATAAATGTATAGGTTTCCTCTTTGCTGTTAGATGAAAAAGGGAAAAGAATCTTGGAGATTTTTTTTTTTCTCTAACTAATCACCATAGCTTGAGAAGCAATGCTGTAGTGTGGCTATAGGACTTGTGTTACTACTCAGGTATAAATGGTCGGTTTGCATTCCTCTGTGCCATTTCACCTTTGATGTGCTGATAGTCAAATTATATTCCTAGAAATATATGTTTGATTTTTTTTTTTTTTTGCCAGCTGTCCCGAATCTTTCTTCCTAAAGAATACTTTAAAGGCAGAGGTGAAATCTGAGTAGGAGGGCATGTGTGTTTGGCTGTGTGGGGTGGCAAACATTTCTTACAGAAAGTTTAAATTTCGTAGGAAGTTTGAGTCTTGCTCACAAATACCTTTATATCAAATTGCTGGGAACTAAGCTGTTTATTCTGTACTGGCATTCAAACTTCATCATGTATTGTTCTGCTGAGTATCAGCAGAGGTGTTTTTTTATTATTATTTTTAATGTAAAGATGTCTGTAAAAGCACCAAACACAAAAATTTACGTTCTTCCACTGTGTTGGCAGTCAGAAGAAAGAAACAGAAGAGGTAGAACATGACTGGCAGTTTAGTTTCCTATTCCAA